ATATATATATATATATATATATATATATATATATATATATATATATATATATATATATATATATATATATATATATATATATATGGATATATATTTATTCATTCATTCATTTTCTTTTCGGCTTAGTCCCTTTATTAATTTGGGGTCGCCACAGCGCAATGAACCGCCAGCTTCGTCAGCATATGCGGATGCCCTTCCAGCTGCAAGCCATCTCTGGGAAACATCCATACACACTCATTCACACTCATACACTATGGAAAATTTAGCCTACTCAATTCACCTGTACAGCATGTCTGTGGACTGTGGGGGAAACCGGAGCACCCGGAGGAAACCCAAGCAAGCGCAGGGAAAACATGCAAACCAGAAACGGCAACTGTTCCAGCTGAGGCTCATACCAGCTACCTTCTTGCTGTGAGGCAACAGTACTACCTACTGCGCCACCGCATCACCTTTTTAGTAAAATATGTGTCCTAATAGTGTTTAAAGCAGCATGGGACACATATTTGTCTGTGACAACATCTCAAATAATGTGTTTTGGTGTTTCATGACCCTTTAATATTGAGGAAAAAGCCCCAATCAGATGTCTGCAGCCACAGCTCTGTTTTCAGATGCCTCTGTTTTCCCCCATCCACACTGACACAGAGCAGCAGCGTTTTAAAACAGACACAGCCTCTTCATCGTTTTCAAAAAGCTCAGTTTTCAGCACTTGAAAACTTCGACGTAGTGTGGACGGAGGGCGTAACCGTAGCAAAACGTGTGCCTTTTCAAACTGAAGCGTACAGACGGGGCCTAAATGAAACATGGAGATCTTTCAGCTGGAGCGGAGAGTTAGAAGCAGAGCAGCAGAGACCGCTCCATGCTGGAAAACACACGTCAGGCGGAGAGGAGGAAACACTGACCCAAACCTGGGACACATTTAGAGTTATAATTACAGAGAAAACAGCAGTGAATGAAGGAGAACACACACACACACACACACACACACACACACACACAAACACACTTTTGGCTCTGCTTTTCAGGGCTGCTAGGAAGAGGTCAACTTCCAGATGTAAACGTGTGTGTGTATTTTGTATGTGCGTGTGTGTCTGCATGTGTGTGTTTGTCTTTGTGTCTGTGTGTGCTTTGTATATTTGTGTATGTTTTTGTATGTCTGTCTGTGTTTCCGTGTGAGTGTATGTCTGTGTGTTTGTGTGTATATTTATGTATACATGCGTGAAAGTGTGTGTGTGGGGGGAAGGGGAGGTCTATATTTGTGTGTGTGTTTGTGTGTGTATGTGTATGTGTGTGTGTGTGTATGTGTGTATGCCTGTCTATGTTTCTGTGTCTGTGTGTGTGTGTGTGTGTGTGTGTGTGTGTATGTCTGTCTGTTTTTCTGTGTTTTTGTATGTCTGTATGGTTGTGTATGTCTCTGTCTGTGTGTGCGTGTGTGTGTGTGTGTTGTGTGCGTGTGTGTGTTTTTGTATGTCTGTATAGTTGTGTATGTCTCTGTCTGTGTGTGTGTGTGTGTGTGTGTGTGTGTGTATATTTGTGTGTGTTTTTGTATGTCTGTATAGTTGTGTATGTCTCTGTCTGTGTGTGTGTGTGTGTGTGTGTGTATATTTGTGTGTGTTTTTGTATGTCTGTGTGTTTTTGTGTGTCTGTATAGTTGTGTATGTCTCTGTCTGTGTGTATATTTGTGTGTGTTTTTGTGTGTCTGTATAGCTGTGTATGTCTCTGTCTGTGTGTGTGTGTGTGTATATTTGTGTGTGTTTTTGTATGTCTGTATAGTTGTGTATGTCTCTGTCTGTGTGTGTGTGTGTGTATATTTGTGTGTGTTTTTGTATGTCTGTGTGTTTTTGTGCGTCTGTATAGTTGTGTATGTCTCTGTCTGTGTGTGTGTGTGTGTGTATATTTGTGTGTGTTTTTGTATGTCTGTGTGTTTTTGTGTGTCTGTATAGTTGTGTATGTCTCTGTCTGTGTGTGTGTGTGTGTATATTTGTGTGTGTTTTTGTATGTCTGTGTGTTTTTGTGTGTCTGTATAGTTGTGTATGTCTCTGTCTGTGTGTGTGTGTGTGTGTGTATATTTGTGTGTGTTTTTGTATGTCTGTGTGTTTTTGTGTGTCTGTATAGCTGTGTATGTCTCTGTCTGTGTGTGTGTGTGTATATTTGTGTGTGTTATTGTATGTCTGTATAGTTGTGTATGTCTCTGTCTATTTCTGTCTGTCTGTCTGTCTGTCTGTCATTAAAACTAAAAGGTCATCAGAGGAAACGGACAGAAAGTTACAACAGAAATACAAAACAAACAGCCACAGAAAGGCCGATACCTGAACACACACACAGGCCAGAGACAAGCCCAGACACTTCCCCATTCCCCTCAGTTTGGGGAATTGTGTGTGTGTGTATGTGTGTGTGAGAGAGATTTTCATGCATTCCTTCAAAGACTCATCGGGCCAAACAACATAAAAGCCATAAAAGCTCAGTTTACTTCAGTTCAAGACACTGCAGCTCAACCTGTCCAAATACAGCCTCACAAACCCCTGCTGAAGCTGACAACACTCCACACTCACACTGAGGCTGCACACATGACAAGTGAAGAGGCAACACTAGAGTTTACTACAGTTACAATGTGTGTAATAGAATAAAACAATGACTAGTAAACTGTGATAGATAGATAGATAGATAGATGGATGGATGGATGGATGGATGGATGGATGGATGGATGGATGGATGGATGGATGGATGGATGGATGGATGGATGGATGGATGGATGGATGGATGGATGGATAGATGGATAGATAGATAGATAGATAGATAGATAGATAGATAGATAGATAGATAGATAGATAGATAGATAGATAGATAGATAGATAGATAGATAGATAGATGGATAGATAGATGGACAGACAGACAAATAGAACGAACTGACGTATTGATAGAATGATGAATGGACCAATGGAATGATAGAATGACAGACAGATGGATGGATAGACAGAAAGAACGATGGACGGACAGACAGACGGACAGACAGACGGACAGACAGATAGATAGAATGAACAAAAGGACGGATGAATAGAATGATGAATGGACCGATGGAATGATAGAATGACAGACGGATGGATGGATGGAGTATGGACAGACAGACAGACAGACAGACAGACAGACAGACAGACAGACAGACAGACAGACAGACAGACAGACAGACAGACAGACAGACAGACAGACAGACAGACAGACAGACAGACAGACAGACAGATAGATAGATAGATAGATAGATAGATAGATAGATAGATAGATAGATAGATAGATAGATAGATAGATAGATAGATAG